TATAGATTAATGCGTTCATATGTGTATGAATTTATATAGAGATATAGTAAGTTCGGGCATATGAATAGGATTAGTATTGCTCGAGAGAGATCACTAACTACAATAAGTTAATTCGATCGTTAGCAGGTATGAAGAGATGACCGAATGAATTGAAATTAAATGTATGTTAAATAACCTAAGTCAAATCGGAAATCCTAATTATCCAATCACATAATGTTATCTACAGTTTTAATTTGAGTTTATTATTTTATTTATTCAAATTTCGTTTAGAAAACACAATTTGATTTGATAATTAGTTGCCATTTTAATTTAAATTGAAGCTAGATTAATTTCAAAATTTAGAGTAGATAGTAGTCTCTATGGGACAATATTCGGAAATGATAAATCCACTTTATTACTTGTCACGATCCGTACACTTGCAGAATACCACGAACAAGTTTTTGGCGCCGTTGACGGGGACTAGTTTATTTGCTTTAAATTTTTTATTAATTCTAGTTTTGATTTAAATTTTTTTGTTTTTGTTTTCATTTTCGTTTGCAGGTGTCCTTGCATGCAAAGATCGAGAGTTGGTAATCTAGTACCCTTTGATCCAAAAATCGAACGCACTTTCAACCAGAGAATTAGGCAACAACAAGAGAACATCATGGCATAACAAAACAGAGAAGTGCAACCAGTACAGGTTGAACAACCAATCGAGATTGATGAAGATGATTTGCCACTCGGACAATTTATCACACCACTTGTTGCACCAAATTAGTCAAGCATCGTTTTCCTCCATTTGGGAAACCAAACTTTCAACTGAGGACTTACACCATTTTATTGTTCTAGAATTGAGTATCAATTTATGGGAAACCTCATGAGAATCCACACTATCACATCTTACGCTTTTTGGACATTCTACCAAAATTACAATTTCCATGGAATATCTGATGAAGAAATCAAGTTGAGAGTCTTTCCACATACACTCAGAGATGGAGCAAGAGAATGGTTGGATGCCCTACCTACTGGAAGCATTAGGACCTGGAATGATCTCGTACAAAAATTTGTCATAAAATACTTTTCACCGTTAAAAGGAACTAAAATAAGACATGAGATATTCACTTTTTAGCAGGATAAATTAGAGAGTTTTCACGAAGCATGTGAAAGATTTAAGGACTTGATTAGAAAGTTTCCCAACCATGGTATTAAGAAAAAATCGCAAGTTCAGTACTTTTACACTAGTTTAAATCCAGCATGTCGTATATCTGTGGATGCAGCTTCAAATGGATCTATCATATTAAAGTCACCCAACGAAGTTGAGGAATTATATGAGACAATGGCAGCTAACAATGCCTTATGGCCTTTCGAAAGATCCACACATAAAAAGCACACAGGCCTACATAAAGTGGATGCTTTCTTGATATTATCAGCACAGATGTCAGCTTTGGAAAAAAATGTGATAGAGCACTTGACTATGAGAGGTTCAGCAAAAGCAGGATAAACAAAATTTTTGGTTTGTGGTATATGTGGTGGAGCTCATAATAGTGGGGAGTGTCATATGTCATCTTAAGAGACAGAGGAAGTTAACTATGCATAAAATTATCAACGCCAGGACAACAATGCATTCAGCAATACATATAACCCATGTTGGTGTAATCATCCTAACTTCACCTGGAATAACAACCAAAATAATCAGCAGCAGCCTCCCCCTGGTTTTCAACAGCAAGAGAAAAAATCATCTCTAGAAGATATCTTGGGTAAATTTATACAGAAGACCGACCAGTACATGGCAAAGACCAAAACGACCTTGCAAAATCATTCGGTAGCCATAAAAGAGTTGGAAACTTAAATAGGTCAGTTGGCCTGCACTATCTCGGAAAGACTATAAAGAGCCCTACCAAGTAATACAGAAACTAATCCAAAGGAGCAGGTGCAAACAATCACAACAAGAAGTGGGATACAACTTGAACTTGAAAAATCGACTGAGAAAAATTTGATAGAGATTCAGACATACCACAGGCTAAGGCGGCAGTTCCTATAAGAGAATTTGTACCCCAATTCCATTTCCACATAGACTGCATAAACATAAACAAAACAATTCTCCAAGTTCATTGAAGTGTTTAAAAGCTGCCCATCAGAATTCCATTCGCGGATGCTCTAGCACAAATGCCCAGCTACGCAAAATTCATGAAGGAAAGTCTCGCTAACAAGAGGAAGCTGGAGGACTATGAGACCTTCATGCTAACTGAGGAGAGCAGTGCACGTCTACAGAATAAATTCCTCCCAAGCTCAAGAATCCAGAGAGTTTTACCATACTTTGTACCATATGAGATAAAT